AAAGAAAGAAAGAAAGAAAGAAAGAAAGAAAGAAAGAAAGAAAGAAAAAGAAATAGGGAGAGTATGTGTGGTGTGTGTGAGACAAAGAAAGATAGAAAGAGGAATGGAGAGAAAGAAACAGAGAAAGAAAAAGGTAGGACAGAAAGAAAAAGAAATAGGGGAGAGAAAAAAATTCTCTGCTATTTTAATTTTTCCATTATTTATCATATATTAATGATAAATATTCCTACACCTAGAATGATTTTACTGCTTTTCTTTTGCCCAGAGCTACCACATATTTTTCAGGGTTTACATGCATTTAATGTCTATAGTCCAGAGCATAAATACATGTGTGTTTAACATAGTTGAAAGGGGCTTTGGAGGTCTTCTAGTCTAACCCCCTGCTCAGGCAGGAAAACCGAGGATGCCAAACTGAGTAGAGGTCCCGGGAAAGGTGTCAGAGTAACACTTAGATGGGATCTTGGGGGGAACCCTATACTACATTGCTCAAAAACATAAAGGGAACACAAAAATAAGACATCCTAGATCTGAATGAATGAAATATTCTTATTAAATACTTTGTTCATTATATAGTTGAATGTGCTGACAACAAAATCACACAAAAATTATCAATGGAAATCAAATTTAGCAACCCATGGAGGTCTGGATTTGGAGTTACACTTAAAATTAAAAGTGGAAAAAAACACTACAGACTGATCCAACTTTGATGTAATGTCCTTAAAACAAGTCAAAATGAGGCTCAGTAGTGTGTGTGGCCTCCACGTGTCTGTATAACCTCCCTAGAACACCTGGGCATGCTCCTGATGAGGTGGTGGATGGTCTCCTGTGGGATCTCCTCCCACACTTGGACTAAAGCATCCCCCAACTCCTGGACAGTCTGTGTTGCAACATGGCATTGGTGGATAGAGCGGGACATGATGTCCCAGATGTGCTCAATGGGATATAGGTCTGAGGAATGGGCGGGCCAGTCCATAGCATCAATGCCTTCATCTTGCAGGAACTGCTGACACACTCCAGCCACATGAGGTCTAGCACTGTCTTGCATTAGGAAGAACCCAGGGCCAACCGCACCAGCAAATGGTCTCACAAGGGGTCTGAGGATCTCATCTCGGTACCTAATGGCAGTCAGGCTACCTCTGGCGAGCACATGGAGGGCTGTGCGGCCCCCTAAAGAAACACCACCCCACACCAGTACTGACCCACTGCCAAACCGGTCATGCTGGAGGATGTTGCAGGCAGCAGAACGTTCTCCACGACATTTCCAGACCCTGTCACGTCTGTCACATGTGCTCAGTGTGAACCTGCTTTCATCTGTGAAGAGCACAGGGTGCCAGTGGCAAATTTGCCAATCTTGGTGTTCTCTGGCAAATGCCAAGCGTCCTGCACGGTGTTGGGCTGCAAGCACAACCCCCACCTGTGGATGTCGGGCCCTCATA